GGCAAAAGCCTCGATCCTGTGTATCAATCCGTGAATCCGTGAATCCGTGACATATACAATAGTGCTACAGACGCAAATATAGTGTGTGTCCAATGAAAATTATTTCCGGGTTCACTGATGGTACGGATTGGATTAGAAACCTTGGAATTCAATCTTACCCAAATTGCTGATCGCTAGTGAATGAGGTTAGAAGCTGGAAGCAGAGAGTTAATGGAAGCTTAAAGACGGCAAAAAGACCCTCCGCGCTCTATGGCTGAAATATTGGATCCACGGATCAACAGACTGATACTCACAATGGCGGCTTTCGTCCAATTTTCCGGGTGGGGGTTGTCCCTTTCATTCAGAGTCTTCAGATCACGTGATTAATGCAGTCGAAAAACGACGTAAAAGTGCTGGCGATTTTCCCAGCACACAGCGATAATCTTGTTGGCAGAACGACTCGCATAAAAAGGCATTTGAATTAACCATGAACTGAGATCTTGAGGCAGCGTGAACAAACGTCGGAGGGCAGTTATTCTACGCACCAAATACCCGGGATGTCAAAAATTGTTTCTGACAAATTAGTACACTCCTGACGTGAAGTTCGACTCTCTGCGGCCTCGTCGTGTTTTTTAGGTCGAATTTGAAAACCCTGTCCGACTAACCTGAATCATTTAAGTTTTCAACTAGTAGGCCACCTCGCGGGCGACCATTCCCTATGGGGAGGAGCACAAGCCCCTCGAGACTCCCCTCCTTATCAATGGATTTGAGCCTGGTAACTATCTTCGTGACAGCCGTCTGACGCCCTCAATGAGGGTAAAGCGATTGTTGCGCCCTGCGTATACAGCTTGGTTTTTGCACTGAAGTAGTAGCTTTCCACAGGCTCCATGGAATGTCTGGAAGTCCAAGTGACTTGTATGGTAAATGGTACAACGAATCATCCATATGACGACTTCTGCCTTCAGAGCCGGTTTTTCATGGTTGATTAGGGATATATTTGACGGATCCAGATAAAGAATCTTTTTGGTAACTGCTTGCAATATCTTCTGGTCCATCCTCAATATGCATGACACAGAAGCTTCGAGACTTTCATTACAGTTTTACTCTGGAGGGCGTAAGATGGCTAGCTACAGCTCCACCGTACTTTATGTATTAGGTTTCGGAAGGGCAGCACCAAGTCCTAGCCAGAACTTTGGGTTAGTTGTTTGTTCACTGCACTCGGATAGCTAATGCTCCCCTGTGGCAAGGTTACAGGTAGGTTAATTAATCAGCACCGCGCTGTGTTCGGGTTTTTCAATTAGGAAGATTCCAGAATGGAGTTGATCGTCAGTGATGATGATGCTGGTTGTGAACGGGAACGGGCCCTCACAAACATGGCGCACCTGGCTCCCGTGGTGCTAAACTAGTGAGAAACTTCGTCATTATCACATCGGTGAGAAAGATCGGCGTCCACGATACCACAAGCGACCTGTTGGACCCAGCACCAAGCGGAGTGTCACCTCACTGACTGCAGGCTCGGCGGTTAACGCTAGGTCCAGGGGCGAGAGTTGCTGACTAGCGTGAAGCCATGTTAATTTTCAGCGGATTGAACATCACACGATTGGTTGTTAATCTGTTCGCCGAGCTTGGCAACTGGGCTACAAACGTTTCGTCACCAAATGAGGAGATATCATCGGTGCGCATTTATGTAATGTCTCCTAGTTTGGCAACGGAACGTTTGCAAGTCAACTGCCAAGCACGGCGAACAGATCAACAACCAATAAACTTCCCAGAGCTACTGATAGTTCAACACATTAGCAATGTCATATGATGGTTTCGCCTCTGAGGCTCAACTCTTTTTTCTGCAGAGTGTTTGTGGGTTAAATGAAAAAAATCACGTAAAAAGGTTGTATTTTGTTACGTTGGTGCTCAGACCAAACATAACCCTTATCTGCTGACATTTTCTGCGATTTGGTTTAATTTCTCTCTTTTCTAAATTTTTGGCACGTATTTAACTTCGAGATTACTGTTCCATGACTTTGGGGCCCACTAACCACACAATTCTCTTGGCTGCAGAGCCTTTGGGAGTGGAGTAAGACATTTTGCGTTAGAATGTCGCATTTTTTTTGCATATGAACGCAAGCCAAAAACAATTCCAGACTACGTTCATATTTTCGCAGCTTGCCAAATTTCATTATCCACTGAAGCAATCATACCTCTGGCGGAAAGCCTGGTGGAATAATTTCCCAGCTTCGCCTTGTTATGTTCCCTACTAATCAGTCAATCAACCTTGTCAGTAACACACGAAATTGAGGAGACAAAAGCCTTGAGGAAATTATACTGCAGCAACTAAACAGCCAATATCGAGATTCGAAGAATGAAGAATGGAATGGAACAAAACAGTCTAATGAAAGGCTGAAATAGAGAGAGAGAAATGTTGAGCAATATGTTCGTTATGAGTGCCTCCTGACACCTCCCCTTTGAAGTCATTGTTCGTACGACTGGAGTTGTGGGTTCAGGCGCATTCGTATGACAAGCTTTCTGATCCGACCGGTCCATCTTCTGGGTGTACAACTTTTGGAAATTTCTGGTTCATTCATCGGCGCTGGAGATTTTGGCTTTTGAGCTAACTCAAATGTGTCGAAAAGTCTCCAGTGGAAGAACAGGGTCGAGTGTAAGTGCCGCTGGAAGATAGGAAGCACGTAGCTGATTGGCTTGACGGACACAGATAGAGGAGCCTACATCTACCTCATAGACAACTCTTCCAGGACGGCGCACAAATATGCCTTGTGTCCACTTTTCCGCGCCAACACGATAGTCTTTCGCTAGCACAGATTGGCCGGGTATAAAAGTGTTCTTTGTAGCACCGTGATGTCGGTTGAATCGAACTTCCATATTTATGTTTCTACCGGTTGGCGAAGGTGGTGTTGGACGGATGACGTCAACGGGTAAGCGGACCTTCCGGTTCATAAAATACCTCCGCCAAGGACTTACCATGTGGAGCGTTAACATTTGGCGTCGCCCTGTAACTCAGTAGAAATGTCTTGATGATTTCCGGGGTGGTTCTCTCCCCTTTGAGTTTTTGGAGTGCGCGTTTGAATGTGTCCACAAGTTTTTCCACTTGGCCATTTGATTGTGGATGAAATGGTGGTGATCGCACGTGTTTTATGGCATTTTCTTGACAGAAATCGGAAAATTTAGCGGAAGTGAATGCACCGCCGTTGTCGGAAACAATGATATTTGGAACTTCGAAGTGGCTAAACACATGTAAATTTGAAATGGTAGCCTCAGCAGTAATATGGTTCATGCTAAACACTTCGGTTCACTTCCTATAAGCATCTACTAGGATAAGATATTGTTGGCCGTTGATTGGTCCCGCAAAATCAACATGAATTCGTGACCATGGAGTTTCTGGGACAGGCCATGAACATAATTCCGTTTTTCGAGGGGAGTTCGCAGATAGTTGGCATTTGGAGCATTTGCGTACAAGTTCTTCTAACTGCTTATCCATGCTCGGCCAGTAGACATAGCTACGTGTTAGCGCCTTCATGCGGTTGATACCGGGATGTCCAAAATGAAATTGTTTGAGGACATCACTCCGTAATTCCGGGGGCACAATTACTCGTTCTGTGAAAAGTAAACAACCATCAACCTCGGAAAGTGAGGATCGATGTTGGTAGGACGGTTGAAGTTGTTTATCGAAACATAATGCAGGCCATTGCGTGCGGTGAAAATGGAGTACATTTTGAAGTGACGGATCACGAGCAGTGGTGTCGCGAACCATGGCGGAAGTAACTGGGAGTGCACGAATTGTAGTAGCAAGCACCGCGTTAACTTTTGGTTCCACCGTTATCTGGGCAACAACAGCATCCTCGGGTTGTTGACGTTGAGAATCCATGAGTCTTGATAATGCATCAGCTTGGCCAATAGCATCAGTAGACCGGTACTTGATGGAGAAGTCATAGTCCAAAAGCGTTGTAGCCCAATGTTGCAAACGGTTGGCTGTGTAAACAGGGATGCCTTTCTTGGATCCGAAAACGGCGAGAAGGGCGTATGGTCAGTGATGAGCGTGAAATGACGTCCATAGAGCATTTTGTGGGACTTCTTGATGGCGAAGATTATTGCTAAAGCTTCTTTTTCAATTTGACCATAATTGCGCTCGGTAACTGTTAGGGATCCAGCTGCGTGGGCAATTGTTTTTTCGTTTTTGTCGGGGAAAACGTGAGAGATGACAACTCTAATACCATAGTTGCATGCGTCTGAAACAACAGTAGTGTCCAGGGTTGGATTGTAATGTGAGAGTAGTAGATCAGAGCTGAGAAATGACTTTACTTTGCCAAAAGCGGACTGGCACTGATGTGACCAGTTCCAAGGTACATCCTTTTTTAGAAGATGATTAAGTAGTTCACGGACACGGTGCATGTCTGGCAAAAATGAACTGTAATGGCTTACTAAACCGAGAAAGGAGCGCAAGGTTGCTAAATTCGTCGGTGCTGACATTTGTTGTATGGCAGAAATATTTTCTGGGTCTGGATGACGACCATGTTCGTCAAAAATAAATGCAAGATATTTGATAGAAGTGAGAAAAAATGTGCACTTCTCTGCACGTAGACGAAAACCATATTGTTGAATCCATTCGAGTACGCAATGCAAACGATGCAGAGGTTCTTCTTGACTAGAACCTGTAAGAATGATGTCATCCAAATAAGCAGCAACTCCCGATAGACTGTTTAGCATGGCATCCATTGTTCGTTGAAATATTGCCGGTGCATATTTTACCCCAAATGGCAAACGGTTAAATTGAAACAAACCGCGATGTGTATTAATTGTCAGAAGTTCTTTGGAGTCATCAGAGACTTCTATCTGAAGGTAAGCATCAGCAAGATCCAGTTTTGCGAAACATCTTCCACCTTTGAGCTTGGTGAACAAATCTTCTGATACCAGCAATGTATATTGGTGAGAGCCTGACATGGCGTTTAATCCAGTGGAATAATCAGCACATACGCGCACCTTGCCATTTGCTTTTTTGGTGACAAAAATGGAAGCTGCCAATGATGAATGGTTTACTGGCTGAATAACTCCGGATTGCTGGAGACGAACAAGTTCATTATCCACAGTTGCGAGAGCGGCAAATGGCACGGGACGCTTCGGTCTGAAAATTGGTGTGGAAGCAGGTTGGAGTTTGAGGCTTGCCTTGGTTTTGGTACAGCATCCAAGGCCACTTTGGAAGACATCGTTGAATTTTGTCTTCAGTGTGTTAGTAAAGTGTTCTGCAATGTTTGAGGAGGATGAAAATTTCAGAGTACTGCACACAGATGATAAAGGTACACGGAAAAGGTCAAGTTTCCTGATCCAATCGAGTCCGAGTACGTTTAATTTCGAACGATCGGTGAGATGGCACGTTCCTGAGAAGTGCACATTGTTGAATAACACATCACAAGACAACTTGCCTGTTAGTTTTAAAGTGCTGCCAGAAGGGCTTTTGGCCCGATGGTTCGTGGAAGATAAAACAGGTTTCCCAATTGATTCCCAAACTGAACGTGATATCAATGTAATATCCGAAGCTTTGTCAAGCTGCAAACGGATCGGGAAATTGTTGATGGAAACTGTTATGCATTTCCTGTGGGATTCAAATTCAACCTGAAACGTAGCAAACAGATAATTGGATTGTATTCGTTGTTTGTACGTCCGCCACATGACCAACGTGATGTTGGTGGCTTTTTTCCAGGAGTGACAGCGGTTTGCTTCAATGTCATGACGCTGCTGGAAATAGGCGATCGCGACTTTTGCTGTACCATTGCGGTATCATGTTTGAGATTGCGCAAGCGCTGGCATTCTGTGGCGAGGTCTTTCACAGTAATGTCTTTTTTGTGCTCAAGTTTGGACAGCAATCGCGTGCGAATATCTGATTCCTGAGAAGCTTGAAGTTGAGCGACAAAAATGAGGCATTTGAACTGAACTTCTGTAAGCGGTTGCAATTGGAATTTTTCACATTCGCGATTAACGATGCCGGCAAAAGTAACGTAATCGTCGGCATTATGCTTGGCCAACTTGAGACAGTTGTATCGGACATTAAAATGTGAATGTTGGTCACCAAAAATTGCGCGAAGTTGTTCCACCGTCTGCGCAAAAGTCAAGTCTTTTATGTGTTGTGGAATGATAAAGTTGGTGAACCGGTCGTGTTCGAGGGTTCCAAGTTTCCGTACCAAGAGACGGGATTTCTACGCATCATCTTTGCCGGTGAGCTCATTCAAGAATGTGTCCTCCCAACGGCTGTGCCACGAATAAAAGGTGAGACCAGATGCTGGCTTATAGTGAAATTCAGTTATAGTTGCAGCAATGGAATCCGCAAAGGATAGTGAGCTACCACTTTGAGATGAAACTGAAGTTTAGAGATTGATGACTTGAGTTAGAGACCGGATAAGTCGCAATTGCAATTGTCTTAAATTGCGCTTGTTGTTGTTGAAGGATTTATTTCAAATCATCAGCTGAAATTGACATTATTGGGTTCGTGAAGTGTTCCCGTAGCCAGTGTTATGTTCTCAACCAATCAGTCAGTCAACCTTGTCAGTTACACACGAAATTGAGAAGACAAAAAGCCTTGAGGAAATTATACTGCGGCAACTGAACAGCCAATATCGAGATTCGAAGAATCAAGGATGGAACGGAAGGCTGAAATAGAGAGGGAAATGTTGAGCAATATGTTCGTTATGAGTGCCTCCTAAAACGCTTGGACCCCGAAGGCCCTACTTGAGGCTCTAAAGTTTGGACTGGCACTCTGCACTCATTTGTCAGACTGCTTTAGTTCAGCGTGGGCAGAGGATAGCTTTTGAAGAAGTCATTCCATTGTGCGAATGCTGAGTGCCGTGAATTTGGAAGACGCTTAATACACTTTTCATAATAAATCGAAGGCTGTAACCTGTTTAGCATTCTCGGCTTATGGGAAGGCGTTCACCGAATACATGAGGGATAACTATGTGATATTTGCGTGTTCAGCCGAAACTCCAACCTTGCGAGTGGGTGAATTACCAATGCAGCAGGTATCCTGCAAGACCAACTGAAAGTCGAGAAATCCGAAGTAGCTAGTGAGCTAAGTGTATTTGTCATTGACAAATATTACGCGAAGCACTGGTTGTTTGATGTGGTGTGGTCTACGTTGGAGGGGGAATCATCTTGCTGTCACCTCTTATTGTCTTGAGCACAACCATAAGGTTTCTAAATTTTTGTACAGCCGGCTTTCAGAAAATCGACGGCTAACGATGGAGCGGGCGGGTACTTGCAGGGCTGTGCTGAAGAATGAAACGTTGTCAGGTGAAATGCGGCAGTTTGTGACCGATTAATTTGAAAAAATACTGACCACTAAAAACATAAAACTTTCACTCGGAGTGTCAACCAGCTCTGTTGAGTAGGTATAGCATAGTTGTTTTTTAGGGGGAGGATATGCATTCGTTCATTGCGAAATTTCAATAGACCGGACGAGTGCTTCTACTACGTCGGATGAAATTTGCATTACTCACGTATGCTTCTTCGGATGACAGCAGATGGCGTCGTTTAGATACCTTCCAAGTATACGGCGCGCACGAACCGTTTCGGGTAAGTTTTTCATCACTGGAGATCCGGTGATGTACGCCTTCGCGGAAAGCGAACAGTTTTCCCCTGTGTGTAAACTGTTTGGCTTATTCATAGAAATACGGGGGGAGCAATAATGATTTCGATCAGTAATGGTTTCGATCACTGACAAGTTTGCGGCAAAATGCGGACCGCAAGAGCTGTCTTCGGTTGCCGCGCCATGTCGTGCCAATCAGAAAAGCTATTAGGAAGCACGCATGTATCATATAACGTCTAAGTATTCCCGGTCATAGACACGCTGCGCAAACATTAGGTACATATTTCACCCTATGGCTTGCCTAGACAACGCCGTACAGTAGGGATTTTGTTAATCGTGAGACGAGCACACAGATTCCGGCAAAATCTGTACCTCATTCGCCGCACGGACCCACGATTTATCTCTCATCTTACAGCCCGGTGGTTGTACATTACTTAAGAATGGACCGTACACGCACAATTCGGAATGGTTTGCCTTCGTAGGGTGATCAACAACCGTCTGGTGAACGCCAGTGGCTGCCTCGGTGCATTTCTCCGACACACTAGAGCACCTCATACAAAAGTTGTCGGGGCACGCCGCGTAGATTGCGCGAAAAGCTGAGATGCATTCGTAGTATCACTGCAATGGGGAATCTTAAGGATGACGGCTACGTTCTGAACGTGATCTGTCGACTGACTACGCAAGTGTGTTCCCTCGTTTTG